CCAAAAAAAAAGAAGAAAGTGGACATTAATGTTTGTGCCCCATGTCTGTGATTGTCTGGGTTTTATTAACTGTTTAAGTGAACACAATCCATGATGGCTGCCACAGCCAAGTGACCTTAAAAAAACACAAAAACAGCTATAACTCATTCAGTTTTACAGATATTGAGCTAAAATTTAGTGTGATAGTAGGTGAGAATCATTCAACACGTAGTTTGAGTACTAATAAAATGCTCAAGATTTTTATTTAAACTTTTGCTGGTACCACTTTACAATAATATTCCCCTTATGGCTAATAAATAGTTTATAGATATGTTATTAATTCCTCTACGCTTTATAAATGTTAATAATTGTTTATTATGCATTAATTAAGGGTGACAGAGAGACCAGTTTCTTGTCAGATAGTGAGCCATATCTGCCACCTATATATATTTCATCTAGAGTTGCTATATTAAGCATTTCAGACTAAAGTTACTACCTTGTAAGCCAATAAGCATTTGTAAACTATTTCTTTAGGGTATAATATTAGTCATAGATACTTATAATGCAGTGATAAAGTACAAATTCAAATTTGATGTGGTAGTTGCTGAGAGTTATTCCCTACAAATACTCTGATTGTCACAGCTTGCAACATCGCATGAGATTGTGAATGTTATTTTCAAAATTTGACCAAAACTGTTAGAATTCCAAGGGATTTGCATTACTTTAAGAAATTCAAAAGATCTTAAATTTAACTTTGGTTCTGACTCTGATTTTTGGCTCTGAGCACAAGCTAATTAATATTTTATCTTGTCACTTAAATATTTGTTCATACATCTTATTGCCATACCCTAGGTTTATGCGTCGTGTGTGTGCAGGCAGGCCTGTGGGTATGGAGAGGAGTGAACGGAAAGTGCAGTGGACTTCGTTGGCCTGGTAGCAGTTACAGCTCCTGGGACAGGATTGAGCCCCAAACACCTGAAGTGTGAGCACCACGAGCGGCAGCAGAGCCGCTGCAGCAAACACAGTCCGACACATCTTCACCCACACTGACATTAATAACTGTACTGAAAAAAGAAAGTCAAAATTAATGCAAAAAAAAAGAAGTGAACTCCAACTTCATCTATA